AGGTGCTCCTGCTGAATATCCTCCAGACCAAGGCAAAAAGGGTAAATGTTCAATCTTAATGTATAGAATGATCATTTATGATGGTATATCATTAATGTTCAATTTCAATATATAGGTGGGAAAAAGAAAACTCTAGAAGTGAAGAAAACTTCTAAGGTTGCTGGCAAAAGAAAAGCAGGTATATAATGATATATTATAAATGTTCAATTTCTATATATAGAATGATCATTTGAGAAAACAATTTTGTTCATTTTATCATTTGCTTACTGTACATTTTCAATACTTAAACAAAATTATATATTTAATTTTCAGATGTCAGTCCTGCCAAGACAAATGCTGGAAAGAGAAAAAAAATACAAGAAGTACCATCAGATGAACCCTCTCAAGATCCTGACAGTGATGATGATAGTGAAGAGTCAGTTTATAGAGCAGAAGAAGAGCCTGTCAGTGAGGATGATTATGAGGTGGAGGAAGAGGAGGAAGAGGAAGAAGTAAAGCCAAGGAAGAAACAGGCAAAGAAAGGGAATTCAGTGAAGGCAAAGGTTGAAAAGGAGGAGCAAAAGATGGTACTGTATGATGAAGGAAAGATTGAAGGTAGGAGAAAAAAGAAAATGAAAACTGAAATGGTTCAAGCAATAGAAACTGATGAAGTTGAGGAAATTCAGGAAGATGAATTTGAGGAAGAGAAATCTTCAAAGAGAGGAGGACATGTGAAGTTCATTGCATGGATAAAAAAGATGACACCTACCCAAAAACAACAAATTATTGATATAGGGTTAGGATCACTTCTTGACATTAGTTTACCTCAACTTGATCAAAAGTTCTGTAACTGGTTATTGGGAAGTTTTGAAGAAAATAGCCAGTATTTTGAACTACCAAAGAATGAAAAAATAGAAATTGAGGTAGAGGATGTTAGGGTAGTTTATGGCTTGCCTACAGGAGAAATTCCAATTGTTGAGCCAAAGTCTGATAAAATTAGTGAGGAGTATGCAGAATTTCTGAAGAAATGGAGAAAATCATGGTCAGGAAAAACTCCATCAGTGAGTCAGGTATGATCAGTTTTAAATGTTCATTTTAAATACATTAAATGATCAAAAGTATAAATGTTTTGTTCATTTTGTTTGCAGATTGTGAATGGATACATAAATGATAAATTCACCAACAACAGACCACCAAGTGAACATTTCATTACTAACTTTTTAGCAGTGGCTGTGAACTGCTTGATGAAATGTGTATCAAACAATCAATGCCATTTCAAATTTCTTTATTCTATGATGGACAAAGAAAACATAAAAAATTTGAACTGGTGTCAGTTTGTATATGACTCACTTATCAAATGTCATGTTGATTGGAGAAAGCAGCAAGGCAAGGGGTTCTACAAAGGCCCTCTTCAATTTCTGATGGTATATTCTTAGATACAAGATGTTCATTTAAATTTAAATAAATGCACTTTTTTTTATTGTTTATGTTCTGTTCCATGTTTTCTTTTTTCTTGTAGTTGTTCTATTTTGATAGAGTTCAGAGGTTAGACAAAAGGCCTCCAAGAACAATTCCTATCATATCTGCATGGAATAGAGACATGGTTCTTGAGAGGTTGAAGATTGAATTAGAATTGGGATTTGGGAGAGGGAAAATTCTACCAAGGATTGCTGCAGAAGTTGAAGAAAGTCCTAAGGTTATAAAATGATCACTTTTGTTAACATAAATGTTCATTTGTATAATCTGAAATGTTCAACTGCATAATTTTTAATATTCATTCATATAGGTTTTTATGGATGATTTTGTTTCCCTGGTAAAAACAACTTGTTCAAACCTGTCAAAGCTTTCTTCAAAATTGGTGAAGGCAAAGGATATCTTCCCTGGAAATGACTTGGTGAAAAAAGTTGATGAAGTTTTAGGAAAGGTGGTAGCTAGGGAACCATCAATTCTAAGCCAAGATGAAGAATTCTTTGGCAGTGAGGATTTCCTAAATGCACTTGCACAAGCTGAGAAGAATCTGATGCAAGGGTCTGAAAAGCAAACAACTGAGAAGCAAATGACTGGGAAGAAATTAACCAAAAAGGGAAAGGAAAAAGAACAAGAATATGACATCAGAAAAGCTTTCAGCTTGGGGTTGACTCCACCTTCTCCAGCCATTGGTAAATTCTAACTAAAAGAGACTATATATCCTAATTTTTATATGAAAAATTCTAAATTTGTGGTCTAAATTGTCCTAAACAGAAACAGGGCCCACCTTTTCAACACTTGGTGATATAATTGAACAACCAATAATTTCAACAAATGGTAATATGTTCATATATTTAATAATAATGTACATAAACTTAAGTAGAAATGTTCATTTCTAATTATTATGTGTAAATACTATTAACTTAGTGTATCTCCAAAATGATGATTTATAATACAGCTGGAGAAAAGGATGTGGGTAAAACTTCAGCAGCTTCAGAACAAAGAATTGAAGAATTTTCTAGAACTGGTATAATGTTCAATTAAAAAGTGTAAAATGTTCATTTACAAACAAGAAATATTCATTATTAATTGTATTATTTTGTTAGACGCAGCAACTGGTTCAAAACTTGATGCTGACACTAGGTCAGATAATGAAGGATTGCCTAGAACAGGTATAATGTTCAATTATAAATACTCAAATGTTCATTTACAAAGAAATTATATTATATCTAATTAAATTTTTTCTTAGATGCAGGATCTGGTTCAGTGGTTGATGCTGACCCTAGGTCAGATGGTGGTGAAAAAAGTGATGATCCAAAAAACACAGTTGGAGGTGGAAAACAAAACAAGGAAGATGTTTTTGAAAAAACAAAAAATGATGAAAAAGTGGAGGGGTAAAATCCTGAAGACATGTCTTACTATTAGGGTTATGTAATGGTGTAGGATAAAATATCTAGATGGAACAATTTAACTTATGTTACTATCGTGTTGTAACTTGAAACTGGTGTTTCTCAAACTATTGTATGTGTGAACATTATTTTGTTGAATATGTAATATGAATGTGTGGTTTATGTTAAATCAATAGGTTTATGTTAAATCAATATCTTTCATTTTATGAATTGAAAATGATTCAGGGTGTTACATAAGAAGCTTTTATTTTATTAATATGTACTGACATTGTTTCACTTTTCAGTGAAAACAAGAAGATTGTTGCTTCATCCTCAAAAGTCACAAAAAGGTACATTATTTATATTAAGTAAATGTTCAAAAATAATAATGAACATTTTCATATACCTAAATGTACATTTGTGTTATGTAATATGACCAGGAATGATGATAAGAAAAAGTCAATTGCAGAAAAGAAGAAAAAAACTGAAAAGGAAAAGGTTGAAAGGTATAATTTCAAATTTATTTATATACACTCAAATGTTCATTTATGTTCCTCATAATTTTCTTAATTTAACAATATTTTATATTGAACAACAAGACCAAAACGCGAAAAGAAAACACTTCCTCCTGCTTTCCGATCTCCTTACTTGGTCAAGTACAAGGATCTGTTTAAAGATGAGAAAGCCATGAACCAAATTGCAGTAGACTTTGCTCTTGGTGGAAAAGATGAAAGGTAATTACTTACACTAATTAAACTTAAGGTTTAATATCTTTTATAAAAATATGTTCACATTCATATTATTAAATGTTCATAATGCAGTGCACTCTTATACTATGATGGCTTGAATCTCATCAATAGAAATGAAATGAAAACTCTTGGAGATGATGTTGAAGTGACAAATTGTGTCATAGATGGATGGGCAAGGTTTCTTAATCATAAAAAGCCGAGAAACAAGATTTATTTCTCAACAGTGCTTCATGTTAGTCTTTCTTCTTTTTTTATATTATTGATTCTATTTTCCTATGATAAATAATTGCTAAAAATTCATTTAACTTCTATATGTTTGTTTGTATTTCAACAGCACATTATGTGCACAAATAGAGTTTGTCAAGAAGGATCATCAATGAAGACAAGAATTAATGCCTTCATAGAAAGAATTGACAATGAACTGAAGTTGAATAAAATTGACAGCATTGTTGGATATAAACAGGTATTAATTCTTGTTTAATACAAATGTTCAATTACCTTCAATATATTGTCCAATAACATTATATAATTTGTTCAGGTCTTCTTCCCAGTATCAACTTCTCAACATTTTTTTCTGTTGTGCGTCAATCATATAGAAGACAAAATTCATATAATTGACAATAGAAAACTACCAAAAAAGGTATCAGTCCAAGCAAAATATGAAGAACAACCAAAAATGATGGTGAGATAATATGTTCATTTATAGTTGACTACATGATCAATTATATTTTATTAATTGTTCATGTCTTCATCACAATACAAACTTCTAAACAATTTTTACTCTTTTTTCTATCAGTTAAAAGGATTGGCAGAGTACATGAAACACCTTGGATATCAAGATGCAAAAAGAATTGAAGACTACACAGTTGTTTTGGAAAAGATGAAATGGCGTAGCAACAATGACTATACAAACTGTGGAGTTTACATTATGAAGCATATGGAAACCTTCACTGCTGATCCTAATGAGAGCTGGATTTGTGATTTAAAACCAAACAATGTAAGAGTTATAAATGATCAATTATTTAAGATATAATATTCATTTATGAAACAGTAAAGATTGTTTAATTAAAATTTGACAATTCATTTTGTTCAACAGGTGGAACAAATTAGAAATCTAAGGCTCCAATACACAGCAGAACTGATGTTATTTGAAGAAAACACTGAATCAAGAGCAAATAGAAGGAAAGCTAGAAAATTTGCAACTTTGTAGTTTCAAATGTTCATTTACAACTATGTATATGTTCATTTCTTATATATGACTATTTTTTTTTTTTAGAAGTAGACTTATGGATTTTATTTTAATATTATTGTAATTGATATTTCATTTTAATCTTTGAATGAAAGTTTTTTATATAATAGATCGAAAATTCAAAATTACAAAATAGTAATTAAATCAACATTACAAAAAAGTCTAATGTTTATAAAGTTCTGGAATACTAATTATTTATCTTTATTAGCCAAACGTTTAGCTACACTTGTATCAAAAAAGGCTAACAACCTATCATATTTAGAAGAAATCTTTTTAGAACCTAATTGAACATTTCTTGATTGAAGAATTGGAACACGAGCACCTTGATCATTTCTTTGAACTGTGGGAGGAGTAACTTGAACATTCTGAACAGGAAATCCTTGATCATTTATTTGAACCGTAGGAGAAATAACTTGAACATTTGTTGATTGAACATTCCTGGAGTTGGATATGATCATTTCTGGATTGGTGTTTGAACAATTCTGAGTTTGATTTTGAACATTCCTGGGAACAGTAGGTTGAATAACAACAGGAGATTTTGTTGACGCACTAGTATGAATTGGAACTCTTGGATTAATTTGAGAGTAAGTTTTAACACCAGAAGCACCTTCATTTGCACCAAAATTAGAACAAGGTTGAACAGCAGAAACACCTTCAAGATTTAAATCCTTCGCCTTTAAAAAAATTAAATTGATCATTAATAAACCAGTATATGATCAGTTACAAACACTTATACAAACAAATATGGAAAAAAAAAAACCTTAGCAATAGATGAAATATCAACATCAATAGATATGATAGATGAAAGAGAGCTTTCACCAGTAGCCTACAAAAAAACCAAAAAAAAATATAAAAAATAAAAAATTAAATAAAAAAAAATTATAATATAGATCATAAATGTTCATATACCTGATCAAAATCATTGGAAATACTATGATTTGATTCCTTAGAACTAGAAGGAATTTCTTCTACAACAGCTGATTTTAAGCCGACCTATATTTTTAAATTATAAAAATCAATATTAATAAAATATAAATAAAATGTTTTTTTTGGCACATTTGAATTTACCTGAGCCCGTTTATTGCTCAAAACAATCAATTCAATGGGATCACTAATAGAATTAGCATAAGTAACAGCACAACCGTTCTCATCAAGTTCCTATTTAAAAAAAAAAACATAAATGATCATTTACGAAAACTGAAATGATCAATTTGAAAATATGAAATGATCATATACCTGTACAACTGCTTGCCCTATACCCCTTTTGTAAGGAGTGTACAGAGACTTTTTCCTCTTGAAATTACCCTTTGCCTTGTTACACTGCTTCTCCAAGGTACTCTTAGGCCTTACATTCCTCTCACCTTTAGGCCTAGCTTTTGGAGGATTCTTGATCTCAAGATCAACAATTTCAACCTCTTTAACAGGTTCACTAAAGTCAATTACACCTGATACACTCTCAACCTTTTCTTTTAACAGATTGAAATAACACTCAACCTCTGCCCTTGCATTCAAAGAATTCTGACAACTTGTTATCAACTTAACAAACTTTCTGATTGTTTGTGACCTCCAAACACTAGTAGCCACAACATTTGTCCTCAAAGTAGGTTCTTCAATACCATGACTACACATGGCAGCCTTTGTCCATCGTTTCATTATATACTCTTGTGGAATATTACGCACACAATGCAAATGATATACTCGAAGAGAATGAGAACAAAGTAAACCAGTCTCACTAAAGTACATGCATGTGCAACAAATTGCATGTGTTTCCTTATTAAAAACAACTTCATGCTTAATTATATCCTTCCCAGGCCTCCAAAGAAGATATGAATATTCTGGAAAACGCAAACCATTATCAACATGATCATAAGCTGTCCCCCTAATGAACTCCTCTTCAAAAAGAACATAAGCTTGAATAGTGTACAATGATCTTGCATGAACTAATATACCAATATTAGCAAAAGCTAGGTGCCTATTACCCCTCAGAGTATTGTAATCTCTTGCACCTTCCTTACTTCTCCACTCAGAAATGACATCAAGAAAAACATGATAAAAATCACATAAACCTTGAGTCTTATTAAGACGTTGTGAAACTGACTTATTAGTAGTTTCACTACGTTGAGAAGACAATATACCACCAGACCAATACTTCTTAGAATAAGCAGGACACCACATTTCCTTTATTTTATACAAATCACATAACCAATCATCATTTTCACATTTGTATTTATCACACATCCTGTATAACAGAAATGATCATATATTAATTTAAAAATGAACAAAATATAAATTAAAATATGTACATTTGTGTAAAGAATAATGATCATAAACAATATGGACACTAATAATATTATGATAACATACATAACAAAGTAAATTGTATGATCATATGTAAAACACTAAATGTTCATATATATATCACATAATAATCAAATATATCACATAATAAAAATAAAAAATAAATATAAAAAACAATAATTTACCTTTTCCAGAAATATTCAAATTCAGCAGGAGTTTCACAATACTTCAAAAGATATCCAAACAAATCTGTAAAGCCTTCCAAAGCTCTCAATGCTCCAATGTGTTTCTTAGAATTTTGTTCAAGATGCCATACACATAAACGATGATGAACAGTTGAAGGAAAAATGTTTCTTATACCCGCTGCAATCGCTTGTGCTTGATCAGTCATAATTGTAATGGGACTTTTCCTCCCCATTGAGTGCAAAAATGTATCAAACAACCAATCAAAAGACTCGGTGCGCTCATTAAGAATAAAACCCATACCAAACATGACATTGTTACCATGATGGTTCATCCCAACAAATGGAGCACATATCATTCCATATTTATTAGTTCTATAAGTTGTATCAAAAACCAACAAATCTCCAAAGTAATGATAATCTCTCATCATCCTACCATCACGCCAAAAAAAAACTAACTAAAGCACCACTATCATCTTGTTCAAAATCATAATAAAAATCTGTCTCATCCACATGTCTCTTGGCAAAATATTTAATCAATTGGTTACCATCACATCCTTCAATTTGGGCAGCTTTTTCAGATGACAATGCATTATAAGCATCAGAAGCAGTAAAACAAAGATTAGGAGATCCCCCAACCTCCTTCTTTAGAACCCTCAAAGAATCAGTAACTTTGACTCCACTCAATTTCATTGTTGAAATGAAAAGAAGCTGCTCTTTATTCACATCTCTTTGAGACCTTATCAAATGCCTTTTTTCAGGAGGAATCATAGCATGATTATGAACCATTTCATGTCTTGTACATGTATAGACCCCTAAATGATCAATATGAAACTGCACAAAAGCTAAACAACCAGTTCGATGATCCAACTTCTCATAAATCCTTTTATTCTTACACTTATTATCTTTGAATCCCTCATTACAACAAACAAATCTTTTCATCAAAAAAGAATCATCTCTTCTTCTCTTACTCTTCCCAATTCGAATTCCAAAACCTTTCCTAAAAGCATATTCATTATACGCTTCGAAAGCTTCATCTTCAGATTTAAATTCTTTATCCTTTAATTCAGACTGTTCTGCTTCTAAATACATAATATCATCATTTTTTTCCACTGCACAATATACAATTATAAATGATCATAAAGAGTTTCATGAATGAACAATAACAAATAAGTAAAATGTTCAATATCAAAACAGCACATGATCAATTGCAAAAAGAATTTCAGCACATAATATTTTGAACAATATTTTCATTATTTACCACTACACATAATATCGATATAAAAATGTAAAAATAAATGATCAAAAATGACTTTAAGACTGAACATAAACACATTAGTAACAATGAATAAGAAAACATAAACGATTAATTGAAAGTATAATCTACAAAATATACGACAAAAACACACAATTCTAAAACACAGAGAAAACAACAAATGAAACAACAAATGAAGCAACAAAATGTTCATACAAAGTACAACAATCCAAAAACGTTCATCATAATGTAATCAAAGTAGTAAATTCAAAAATCGAAAGTGAATAATAATACATCAATTAAGTTCAAATTAACAGAGCATTATAACAGAACAAATTAGGGATAATTAAAAATTGAAAAATTATGATCACAATTACTCACATTGTTGCACAAACGAATCAACGAAACGAAGTCCAGAAGGAAACACACGCTCGCAATCGCGATCAAAATCAACGCAATCTCCAGATGCAGAATTCGCCATTGATGATCGGTAACAATTAACGAATTCGTTCAAAAAATCAAATGAAGAAGATGAATTAGCGAGAGAAAAATGTAGATCAAAAATGGAGGTTGGTTGATCAATTGAAGAGAGAGAAAAAATAGGGTTTAAAATCATATATATACATAAATTGAATAATAAGAATCAAAGGAAAAAGGAAAAAAGAGGAAGAAAAGAAAAAAAGAAAAAAAGGAAAAAAAAAAAAAAAAAAGGAAAGAATCGCAAAAGGAAAGAAGCTGCACATGAGAACTCAATACCAGCTACAAAACGACGTAGCATAGGGGGGGTGTAGGGAACACACCCTACACTAGGGTGTAGGGTAAAATTTTCAACAAGAGACAACCACTGCGGCTAAAATTGTAACCAGCAGGAGCAGGCCACCCACCCTGTCCCTGAGGAGAACCCGCACCTTCACCGTGACTCCTACCCCAATCCCTGCCCCAACGTTGTGTCGTTGTCGGCTCTGGCTCCTTGTTGCTCATCCATGTTTCCAACAAAGAAACACCCAGCAGTACTGTAAAGGCTAGGATACATGCTGATGACCTGATGGTAGCCATGTAACATATACCACCACTATTATAAGACGGATGTTGAATGAATGGATGGTTCAATGATCAATCCATTGACTGCAAGAGGGTTTATATAGGGCGACGGACAGAAGCAAAAGATCGAATGCTATGTTTCTCCAAAAAGGCGCAGAAATTTGTTTGTCAACAGAAGGCAGCTCTTCACACTTTGCAAATGGAAAAGTGTTGCATATTTCCAGTATTGATCAAACCAAAAAAGAGATACATTACCAGTATATAGTTTAGTGTATTGGTAAAAACAGGAAATCAAGTTAATGAGAAGTTTGCTGCTTAGTTCACAGCAGTAAACAGTAATTTCCCAATCACTCAGGAGGAAACTTGAACTTCATTTTACAAATGAAACCAAGACAAGTTTAAGAAGATTGAATATAACTTCATCTTGGGTGCGCACTTGCCAAATTTGATGACAAATTAAGCTGTAATGAATTTTGGACTGAGTCAAACTGGTGTACCCGAACGACACCTGAATACCTGATATTACATGAGCCGAGTTTAACCCAAACTTAAAATCGAACCAACCTAACTTGATTTGAAAATTAATGGCTAATGTTGATTGATTTTGTTATCATAAGCCAATCGTCAAATATAGACTTGAATATGACCCAACTCGAAGCAAATGATACATAATCTAGAACAAATTGGCCTGAGCCAGCATATGACCTGCAATGGATTTACCCCTGCTGGGCTGGGATATTGACCAAAAAACATGCAAAATTTGGCTTCGTAACAATGCACTCCTACTATACTAACCCATATTTAGTCTATAGACAGGAGCTAAAGCCTAACATATAAGCATACTTTTAAAAAAGTCATAAAACAGAATTTCAGTAAATGACATTTTAATGTGGGCAACAGTGGGCTTGATAAAAGAGCAGAAATTGCATGAATTACTTGTTTTAATTTGCTTGTAAACCATATTTATTAACCATGGTACAAATTAGATACAACATGCTGCAACCAGTTCAACATAATCCATTAATCAATACAACATACTAAAAAAATATTCGAAAAAACATAAATAAAATTACAACAAATCAATACAAGAAACTGAAACCATTCTAAAAAGAACAAAACTAAAATTACAACAAATCAACTTAGAGCCGTAATCGGCATATTTTAGAACAAAGACATGCGTACAAGTTACAAGGAATTTACCTGCCATTTCATTCCTCTAGTTCTTCATGTTCAGCAGCCTCTGCCATTTCTTCATCGCTTACTACATCATCACCCTCCAAAATAAATCTTTCGAGTTCATCCATTTCCTCGTAATCATGGATGTAAAATCCATCCGCATGATCCCATTGACCAGTTCCTAACTCCTCACCACGACCAGCAACATGCAAGTAAGGTCTACTCCTAGCTAATGCATCCACCATGTCCCTGTTCACACTTCCAGTCACCCCCAACCATTTTAATCTCGGAAAGTATGGCTTCTTCAGCCAGCGGAATGAGAGTGCAGATATACGCCCACAGTTATAGAGATCCAGCAAACGTAGGCAGTTGCCATGCCATCTTTCATCATCAACCTGCATTGAGGCCAATGCCATGACCGAAGTGTCACCAATGAGAGGACATTGTCTCATACGGAGTTCACAAATTGAAACTCGGCTTTTAGCCAAGAGTAGAACTCCATTGTCACTCAGATTAGGCAGATTTGACAAGTCCAGTTCTTGCAACACGGGCTTTGAAGTGCTACTGAATAGGGCCGTGATGCATTTATCTGTAAGTCTCTTGCAGCCTCTAACAGAAAGAGAAACTAATGAGCTAGCTGCCATTTCCTTCAGATGTGAGATTCCAAAATCACTTATATCAGATCCATCAAGAAGTAATGACTTTAATTTAGGAAGACGGCTGATTGCTACCAGAGTTTCATCCCCAAGGCTTCTGCAATCTCTCAGGTCAAGCACAGTCAGATCCAAATTTGATGCCACATGTGTAATTGCAAGATTGGTCAGCAGATTACACCATCTCAAGCCAACATGTGTTAACGAAAGAGGGGTAGCTGAGATGTCCAGAAAAACCAGATCGGTGAGTTGGGTCCCATGCGATATTTTTATCTTGTAAAGGTTAGTGCATGAATGTAAAATAGCTCTGAAACCTGTATCTGTAACACGGCAAAAGCCACCAAGAGATATACTTTCCATACTTGCACAACTGTCAGCCATTAAGAGGATACCTAGATCATTGACTCTACGAAAATAAGTTACGAGGAACTCTTGGCTACGTACCAATGAAAGATGTTTCAACTTTCCATGTCGGTTTATCTGCTGGAGACCGTTGTTGGTGAGGTCAAAGGTCACCCTTGGTTCAATTATAGGTGCATCTCGAAGATCCAAATGAGTCAATGAAGTGAGATTCTGGGATATTGTGTTGATCATAGTATCAGTGATATAATCTACAGAAAGGCACAACTTCTGAAGATTCGGTAGTACAGGTGGCTGCTCTTGCTGCAGAAACTGACTAGGCCCAGGAGTTGGGCTGAGTAATTCTGTCACCATGACTGACGAGATATAACCGATTTCTAGAGAAGTTAGTTTATCAGAAGCCAAAGTCCATGCCCGGGCAAAATTATGCCGAAGAAATGTTGAGACATCAAACATCAGATTGAGAGTCTGCAAAATAGAGAGCACAAATCAGATAGGATTAACAAAGTTGATGGTCCATTATGAATGTTTTAGCACTGCTCAATATAGACAATTGACATGTATAATCCAGTCCATTACAAATTCTACTATTCTTCTTTCAATTTTCAGACAAAGGTCCTCCAGAATATCTCACAAATAAATGGAAACTTCATCCCAATATGGGCCAAGTCATTACAACTCATATAGTCCAAAAACAAGAATAAGAGCCTTCACTGTTTCTATAGCTACATAACTACATAAGCCAATGATCGTTATATCTTATATGTGGATAAAGTTTGGTCACATATACGTGGTATTTGACAGGTTAGAATGGGAACCAGTACATATCCTTTTCTTCAAGAACACCTTACACGAAAAAAACTTCACCTTGAACACTTCCATAAGTAGAGCAAAAAAGAACGGAAGGCGTACATAATAGCTTCTACAAAAACCATATAGCTCTCCAAAAGGAACAAACAGTTCAACATTCAAGAGGATAAAGCTTGAAAATTTTGGCTGTCAAAACTGATACTAAGCAGACTGCACCTGCTTTCACTCAATCTCAGTTTGCCCATCTCAACCAATAAACAAGAAGTGAGTTGATCAAGGTCTAGACGTTAACCCACACACCAACTAGGCAATATGACACAGGCAATTAACAAGTCACCAACTAGGATTCAAAAGTATTATGCTCATTCTATCTAACCTTCATCATACACATAAGTCATAGTGGTAATTCAATCTGACAAACTATAGACCCTCAAGCCCAATCATCCAAACCCATGCATCTCTACACAAGTAAACTTACTGCTCCATAATATATTATCTCCATCCCTAACAAGTAAGCGGGTGGGTGCAAAGTCCAACTTTACAGAATAGGATAGAGGAGAAAGTAACCAAAACGGTATAGCTTCAACCACCGAACTCCAACAAATTAAGTCAACACAGGTTGGAAAGATGTATCTTAGATACAATATTCTTCCTTTGTAGTCTAGTAACACTAGGGAGGCACGGAAGCACAGTAATGAGGAATAAAAAGAAGAAAGAACGGAGGAAGACATCATTTATACCAACACAAAAGAGTTCAGGTAAAAAACCTCACAATACTTGAAGAACCAAAACCACCCAGCATGTGTCCCGCCATTAACATGGTACTAATACACTAGGGTAGGATGGTCAATATGTAGTTGCATAAAATTACACCAATAAGATTATCACAACCAGAAAAGGAGTGTCTCTTCATACAAGTCAGCCAAAATGTGTGAAACAGAGAAAAACTATGATCGGTGCATAACTCTTTAGCACATTTAAGTTTTCACCAGAACTTATTTTGTTTTGTCATTTAGAAAAATAAAGAGCAGCAAATACTTCTATGATGAAGAGCATCATAAAATTGAAGTAATCATTCCCTGTGATAATATTAATGATCTCCCTGTAAGCAATCTTATTAGGTCATTAGAAATTTACTTTAGCTGTGGAATCTTACTTCCAGTTCATTGCAACCTCTGAGTAACTCCTCCAGATCAGAAATATGGATTGCACGACCTCTTTTGTCGCCCACACACCCAAGGTAGAGAGACCTGAAGGGGAAAAGGCAAGATAGAAGAGATGACAACATCACCTAATACAGCAATCAAACAGAGAGTATACCACATTCAACAACAGAACATAAACAAAAACACATCACAATGATACAAGTACACACAAAATTCCATAACATCTAGTAGCAAGTCAGGCAACAAAAAAAATATCACAAGAGTTGGCATTATATGAGCACTGATTGCTCATGATACAGTAATAAAATAAAGAACAATAGAATAAAAATCGTACCTAATATCACGACATTTAGCACCAATCTCAGAGAGCAATCTACCACTAAAATCCCCACAATTGTGAAGAAAAAGCTCATGTAAAGAGGGTCGGATGAGTTGAGTAATCGCAGAGTCATCAAGCCGGCAACAGTCAACTTTCAGGCTTGTGAGATAAGGGTTTGGGGGCAATAAGGGAGCCAACAGATCCATTGATGGTGCAACATCCTGAAACCCAATAGTTTAGTTAAAATCAACAAACAAAATCCATCCAAATAAACACCTTATGAACACATATTCAACAGTTTTCTCCACTATCTAGCTTGCTTTCTTAAATAATATTTCACCAACAAAATGAATCAACAAATCCCATATAAATAGGCTCCTCTTTATGCTTATAATATATAATATCACTGTTAAACTCATATAGTTGGTACCCAAGACCCGGGATCGAATCAAGTTCATTATAAACTTAAAAATATATGTAAAAATTGACATTAATGGCACAGATTTCTCACAAGAAGCTTACTTTTAGTTCATCAGAAACATGAAATTAGACAACTTTCAATAAAATACAGCCAAAATGCAGATTAGTTAGCCCTAAAACAAAGCAAATCTAACCAAGAACAAAACTTTTTCTAACATTTAGCACAGAATTGAATCAAATTCCACAAATTAACAGAAATAAATCATAATTACAATAAAACAAAAGGCATTAAGAAGGAGAGAGATTTACAAGGAGGTGAACAGTAGGAAGGAAAGTCATAATATGAGAAGCGCAGGAATTGAAAGTGCGACAAGTAGAAGCGACGGAACAGATTGACGCCATGTCTAACTTGGAAATAATCGTCGCAAGCAAAGCTGACGGAAGTTGATCCAACCCCATTCTCTCTCCTCCTTCATCCCCTTCTCCTTCTTCCCTATTCTCCATTTCTCTCTCTGTTTCTGCTTCTTAATTTTTTGGGGGAGATCTAAAATTGGTGGAAATTGAAGATTTTTATTGCAATTTCAAGACAAGAATCATTTCATTAATGGGGAATTGTTAATTTGCAAATTGCAAGGAGAAGGAAACAAGAAATTAAAAAGATTTTTTTGTTTGTGTTTTATTTTTAGTTTTTAGGAAAATTATGCGGTTAAGTAAGGGTTACATATAGGGAATTAAAGATAAAAATATAACATTAACTAGATGAAGTCAAAAAAAAAAAAAGATGAAGTCCTTGTTTTTTATTTTATATATATATATATATATATATATATATATATATATATATATATTACTCTTTGCTCATAATTTTATCATGTATTTTTTGCTTATTCATAGCTTTAAAGGCAACATCTTGTTCAAAAAAAAAAAAAAAAAAAAACTACATATAATATTACCCTTATTTTTAAAGTAAAAAAGAGTATTATAATATCATACTAGTATACGCAATCTTTAAAAAAAAAAAAAAAAAAAAAACTATTAATGTTTGCGTAGTGTAGTTGGTTAAAGTCTTGAGAGATGATGTTTAAGATTTGAGATCAAATCGGATTTAAGGCCTGTTGTCATTGACTGAACTCAGCTGAACTGAAATGAATATTTTATAAGAGGAGGAAATTAGGAGTTGAACTGAACTGAACTGAACTGAATTTCAACATATGAGAACAGATCCTTATTAGTATTAGAGCCTGTTCACATTTACTTAATTTCAGCTCTAATCAGTTCAGTTCAGCACTTAATTTCATTCTCTCATAAAATATTCATTTCAGCTCAATTCAGTTCAGCTCAATTCACTAAATGTGAACAGGTCCTTAGTGATACTTTTATTTACTTAGTATTTTTTTGTTTGAATGAAGGACAATATACGAAGTAAAAGGGAGTAAGGCAATATGTTCACTTTCATTATGATATACTCATTCACATGGGTTAAATACTCCGTAGTTAAGCTGATGTATGTATGAAGATGGTTAATTGCAGCAAAAATTTGTGTTATTAGATCAAGAAACAGTCCACATGCATTTTTTAAAGAAACTTCCCTCAATTTCATTAGTTTGTTTTGTCGGTTGATTACTTGATTAACATTAAATCATTAATCTTATTAACTAATCTCACAAATCCTACTTCTCATTTAATTACGCAAACCTCTTTCTTTAGTGATTAATGAGGATTATATCATTTTACAAGTAATGTGATTATGTGATGTGAGTGTATCCCTTCAATACCAAACAAATACTAGTAGATGAACAAATCAAAAGACCTTACAGCCTTAATCCGTAATATTTACTTAAAGTGATATGATCACATAATTAGTTTTGTTTCTGAAATTTTAATTCAGTTCGTATTTGTGCAGTTTTAAATGTGCATCTTTGACCATTAATATTATGTTAAGGTGAATATTAAGGATAATCCCCATTTTAATATATTTCTTTTTATGTATAAATTATAAAATATACTACGTAGTTAAAGTTAGTTCATTGTAACTGTATAAAATAATAAATAATCGAGTCAAACTTTCAAAAACGAAGGAAATATGATTATTTAAACTTATTTTTTCCGTAAATGCTTCAATAGGTGAACATCATCACACTATTGTTATTATTAATCTCAAAATGATACTACTAAAAGAAAAAACATGATGTGCTCTATATATTGTAAAAGCAATACTCCGTATGTCATACAATGACAAAGAAGAAGTTTTAGTGTATAAAAAAAATCTATAAACTTTAAAAACGGTAATGGTATAGATATTTTGAATTCATTTGGCCTTCATAGCATGTATATATGCATAGTGCACATGAATTTGATGAACAATCGATCTGTTGCTAAGCTTGCTTCTCCCAAACACAATAGTCTTTACCAATAGCAACAACCTTGAAGTTGGAAGGAATAAGTTTGCCAACATCAAACCTTGGTCCGACCTTAACAATAACCTTTCCATCGATCATTGCTACATATGCATCTGCATCCGCGTCCATTATATTCACGCTACTTGATTCAGTTAGACTGTTTCTTTGCCTGATTGAGGTCAATTTAAGGATTTCTTCCTTCAGTCCCCATTCAAAATAATGATCATAAAACTGCAAAACAAATATCAGAAAAACACACATTAGTTTAGATATAGATTAGCTGATTAAAGTCTAAATCGAGTATTTTTTAAGTTTTAGTGCTTACTATGGATGGAGTTCCTGGATGAGTTAATATGTAAGCATATCCTAGCATGACCTTGTCTGAAGGAAAGGGCCATAACTCCTGCGTGGATCCGGTGTCGTGATTATCAATGAAAGTAATAGCATTTTTCGGCATAATTCCAATCATACCACTAGGCCTACCCTTAGAGTCTTTCATTCTCCACCATTCTCCTTCAGCAGCAGCTTGGAGAACACCTTTGGTAGTAAAATCAAACACATTAACAACACCACCTCCTGAATTCACCCACCCTACAAGTTCATTTCTCGGTCCGTCTTGGTTAAAGTCTGGCTTACCATCTGGATCATAAGTGATTGAATCCCAAAGTTCTCCTACAGCAAAATCTGGCTTAGTCTTGTCCATGTATATTTTGGTTATGCTAGGAGCATATCCCTTAACAAAATCAAACCTCCAACCATCAAATCCCACCTCGGATTTGAGCCAATTCATCCAATCCACCAACTCCTTTTGCACTCTTGGATTAAGATGGTCAATATCAGGGGCAGCATCATAACCAGCTCCGGTGTCTAAATTCCCGCTACCATCAGAGTATTTAGTGTCATCCCTGCAGATAGCCCAAGGACCCCAATCGAGGCGATCATCAGGCGTTCCACCTTCGAAAATGCAGTATATCCCTCTGCCATCTTTCTTATCAGCACATCTATGATTTATCACTATATCAGCTAGACACTTGATTCCTTTTTGGTGGAAGGCATTAACCAAGTTCTTCAATTCGGCTTTGGTTCCGTACTTAGATGCATCAAGATCATATAATCTCCCAGGCAAATATCCTATAAATCAACAAGAAATTTACATTCAAAAACATTAACACTACCCAAACAGCTTTAAAAGTATTATTTTACGTTTGAAGATAACAGTACATTTGTTCAACTTGTTTAGGACTTTGTACATTAGTTGCATATATAGTTTCTGTATAAACAAAACAATGATTATATATATACCTTGAGGCGAAACAGAATGAGTTGGGGGCGGAAGCCAGACATGGGTAACCCCTGCTTTAGCTATATCATCAATAGAGTTTTGAAGGAAGTTATAAAATCCTCCTTTCTTATTGGATTCCCAATTAAACCCCTAATCACATCAATCAATAACGAAAGTTAGCCAATGAAATAAACCACAAAGAAATGATCAAATCATGTCAAGAAATGTTAACCAAAGAAGGGAAAATGGCATTGTTCTAAATGTTTGTTTCATGCTTTTTCTACTAAATTTTTGTTGTACCACCCCAAATTCATTCCTTTTCTTAAAAAAAATGTGACATTGTGTGTTTATTGAGTGAAATACTTGAATAAACTAGAGATAAACGAGTAATCGTATGTGCATATAACAATTCAAAAACATATTGCAAGACGAATGTACCTGAAACAACAAGGCAGAAGCTGCAAAATTAAAGAGAAGAGAAAGTGAAAGAGAAAGGCAGCAAAGAGAGACAAGATTAAAACTCTTCATCTTCACTACAATTTAGAAAGATTCAGAATTAATTTGGAAGAAGATATGGTATAATGAACAACAATAAGAGGTATATATAGAAACAAATGCATGAGAAACAAAGTAGCCAGTTTTACGAGTGAACGTAAAATTGGTTGAAAATGTAATGTTAGCCGCATTTCCTGACGTTTTTGCTTGCAGAATGATGTTATATGGATAAAATTTATAATTGGATGGGTCAGTTTGTTGTATAGCTTCTCCTATCCTTTCATATCTGATTAGTTGTAACAGATTATGTGTGTATCATGGATGTAGATTGTGTAAAAAGCTCTTCACATTTCAGTTATATAATTTAATGTACTATGCAACCGATTAGTCTATGTTGTCTAATGATGCAACGAGAATTGGTTACGTATATTATATCTAGTACTCCATTTGCCGCATAAATAAATTGCACTTTTGTTTTATGATAAGAATGCATGGGGGCAACGAGAATTGATTAGGTATGTTCATATCTAGTACTCCAAATCTAGTACTCCTTTCGCCGCATAATTAAAAAATAATTAAAAAAAAAAAAACTTTCATTTCTTCTAGCCACATTTGCCCACACTTAGGGCATGTTCACATTTACTGAGTTGAACTGTACAGAACTGACTGGAGCTGAACTGAACTGATTGGAGCTGAACTGAACTGAATAGAGCTGAAATGAATATTTTATGAGAGAAAGAAAGCAAGATCTGAACTGAAATGAACTAATTAGAGCTAAAACGAACTGAATTGATTGGAGCTGAACTGAACTGATGAAATAAAATTAAGCTGAAGTGAAGAGGCCCTTAGTATTGATCATTATCTTTAATCATTTGTTTGCAAATTATATATACTCCATACAAATTTTATATTTTGAAAATATACATGAAAACTAGTCCAACTACGTTTTCATAATATAATACTCGGTATGTCATTTCTATTTTTAAAGAATCTAATTTAAGCACATAAATAGTGCAAAAGTCAAAGTGAGAAATTTTTAGAATGGAGGAAGTACTTAAAAACAAGATTAATCAAACAAATTGATGCTCCTTAAATAAAAGACACAATTGTTTCCCACAATTTGAATTATGACACATTGTTGTGATCCTATTAGTAGCAATATAGCACACACTTTCGGTTTAATACCACGGTATGATCACATATGTGAGTAATGATAAGTTTGATCTAAGAAGATTGAGACCCACTTACCGCTCAAAGTCTCAAAGCCACCTTTCATAGTAAGCAATATGCATTTCACTCAGCCCTCTAGCTGAAATTACATAGTTAAAGACTTGGAGTTAAAGCTAAATAATTTTTGCACAACTCAAATTCTAGTATTTGGCCACAAACGGCAGAAATCCCTAAGCACCCAAATTAGTAGTAAAAGATGCAATTATCACATGTTTAATTTTACGAAATTGATTATCACATTGATAATATAATTTGCAGCAACAAAGTAACAAACAAATTCAGATGGAAGTTAAACCTAGGAGACAATAAGTGAGAGCTCGACTAATGTATTTACTTTCACTTCATCTTGTACCATAATCTTACTATCTTAGTGATATTCACGACACATTCATAGTAGCATTATAAGGTTCTCTTGATTCGATAAGTGCAAATTATTAGGGCTGATTTGTGACGAACCTTCAGATTCGACCATATATTGTCCATATCTGAGATAGGGCATCATTCTCAGATTCAGAACAGCCCTCTCTCAAGGTTAACATTAGAGCAGAACTTCCAAAAGAACAATATGGTCTTCAAAGCAGCCCAAATATGCTACCCGCAGATAATTCCTGCGGGATCAAGTTTTCTTAATTCTTACACAGTTAATATTACAAAATCCTCAGCTTGAGAAGGAGCTATATAAATATGCTCCATATCCAATTACACATCCCCATTTACTTGCAAGAGGAGTCATCTAGCAACACTACAAACATTCACTTGTGTAGTAAAATTTCTTCCATTTGCGACCTCTACTTACATATTATACATTTGCATACCTCCTAATTTACAAAATAGATGGAAAAGTAAAGCCATTTTCGGAATTAATAGGCTACTTAAGGTTGAGCAGAAGCAAAACATACCTAATCTTATCTCACCCGCCAACACTAAACCCTCTGTCTGCAGCATAGTCCACAAAGCTGTAAAGTGGAATAACCTTTTCTCCGTAATTTTCAAAACCATCCAACTCTTTCTTTGCTTGAGATCGCAAATCCTCAGCTACTTCTTTATCCTTGTCCAACCCATAAACACTCACATAGCTTTTCCCCCTACGTTTCGTACCCCCTTCACTGTTTTCAGTCTTTGCTCCCTCTTTTAAAATATCATCCACCACTTGATACAGAACGCCAACAGCTTTACCATATCTTCTCAGCCGTTGGATCTCATCATCATTGGCACCAGCCAAGATGCCTCCACACACAGCTGAACACTCAGCAAGCTCCCCAAATTTTTTGCTTGGATGAAGTCCACACCATTTGGCCCACCTTCAAGATCCAAAAATTGGCCTGCAACCATACCTGTGGATCCCACAGTTCGGGCTATCTCGGCAATGACCTGCAGAACTCGTGTCTCGGGGACTAGTTCACGCGGGGTATGTGAGACAATGTGGCTGAAGCCAAGAGGGAAAAGTGCATCTCCTGCAAGAATCGCCATGTCTTCCCCATAGACAACATGGTTAGCTGCATGACCTCGTCTTACTTGGTCATTGTCCATGCATGGTAGGTCATCATGGATTAGTGAAGCAGCATGAACCTGTTTGCACATAAATGCTGTTTAGCAAAACATAGTACAAAAAAAGACCTAACAAAATCTAAAGGAAATAGATTAATAAAATGATGATTCCAAGTAGAATGTTTATAATTTTGATACAAATACACTAGAGGGTGGTATACTTGTAGTAATTAGTCTCAACAGCATTCTACTTAATAACTTTACTAAGCAAAATTAGATTGAATACATAAGATAAATCTCTAAAAGAGAATGGGAATCAATAGAGCCACTTAGAGGACATACTACACTAATCCTCCTCATATTAACTTTCGATTTAAAGAGGGCTTTTTTGTTTTCCGTTGCACAAAATTCAGCTGGTCGCTTAGAATACAAAGAATACTATAAAGATGCCTGAGGCAATTAAGATCATGGGGGAAAGCTCAATACAGAATTTCCCACCAACCTTCAAATGGAGATCTAAACAAAAGTCAACAACCCGGTGGGTGCTTGATGGTTATTATCTAGCTTTGTCTGATGCCTAATAATATAGTAATTTGGATTGGGTGCACCCCTTGGCCCCTTCATTTCCCCATAATCTTCACAGGGTATCACCATGACACTAGGTTACCAAAATGAAAGTTAAGTACCAAAATCACTCAACCACAAAATAGAACAAGAAATAAACAAAAACAACAAAGAAAGAAATAGCAATTCGCTGCTTATATGTACATTCTTCCATGAACATAAATATCCAACGGTTACTGCTTCTCAATAATCACTCACAAACCAACCTCAGATATCACCCCAAAAATAAAAAAAATAAAAAAATAAAAAACAAAAAATAAATAAAAATCAGAAGTCCAAACCCTAAGTCACAGTTCTTGACTTCTTTGCCATATTCTCAAATATGAATACATTGAGCCCATAGTCTTATGCCATTTCTACTGATCCTACGTTCCTCCTTCACAGAAGTAGACAATACATCTTATCAACAAGGTTACAAGATAAATTGACATTAAGAATCCATTTAGTTTGCCAGAAAACATTTTCAATGTAAAATGAATATAAGGGAAAAACACAACTACAAATTAGATTTTCATGGTTTGGTTAATTACAAGAAACGTTGTATAGAAAAGGAAAATGTGAGGAGAGAAAGAGGGAGGACATAGTTTGAGAGAAAATCATGGCTAACCTTCCTTACAAAAGGAAAAATGGTTTCCAATTATGGGAAAAGTATGTTCTACCTTTAGGATAACTATTTTTTATCCCAGTAATAGGAAATCATATTTTTGGAAGATCGTTAAACGTAAACACTCTCTATGAGTAAACTTGATACAAATATACTCATATAAACGAATCAGTGAAAGCAACATTCGTAGTGGTTATTGTAACTTGTTAGTGACTTGGTGCTCTGAAATCCTCTTTGCTCATACTAGCAAATTCCTACTAAATGACAATCAATTCAGCCCAAACCAAAATGAGCCCCTATCTTCTTATACTCTTTGAAAGTACTTGGTTAGGTGGAAAATGTTTTCAAGGAAAGTGATATTCTCTTCGCCCTTCGTTTGGTGCTAAAAAAAAAGAAAAACAACTTTTCCAAATTCCGTGTGGAAAACATTATCCTTTGTAAGAGAAGGAAGTCACATTATCTTTTAGCAAGAACAGGGAGATAAATCTCCTCCATACTCCCTATCTCCCAATTTCTCTCCTTCTTTCCACTTTCATTTTCCTAATTTCTATAAATTCTCTTGTAGAAAATATAGGAAGATTAATTGAAAACTATGCATTCCACTAAGAAATGTTCTCCATGGAAAATGTTTTCCATCAAATCAACAGTCTTAGTTTGCACACCATTTTGAGAGGATCAATGTAAATCATAGGAAAGGCTACAAATAGAGCAGTCTTACGCAACGTCCCAAACATTCACCCACACAATCACACCTATAACAAACCCTCATTTCAAATGGATTTCAACTAGATTAGCCAATAAAATCATGCAGTAGTACCCAAAACCTCGAACCGATTCTACTCCCTCCATCCACAAAATCACACAGATACAGTTTTAGGATACAACAATACTTTAGCTAAAATAAAAGAACCAGCAATCCTTTATACAGTAATACATTTGATCATCCTCATACACTCCCAAAACCACATTCCAAATATAAGGGCACTATTAAAAAAACTAGTAGAAACAAATTTCCGAACATCCCAAATTAGTACTTGGTATATGTAATATGTAACATAGTTCATCCCCAAACAGTACAAATGAGATTAAATCCGGCAATTTTGAAGACAATCATTAATCCAAAATTTTCCAATTTGGGATATGATTATATCAATCATTAATCCATAATTTCCCAAAACATAAATTAAAGAGAAATGAGGGGTTACCATTTCAAGGGCACAAGCAGTTCGGAAGGCAGCAGAGCGGTGACCACCTAAAAGCTCACAGGCAGTGATGCACATAACAGGTGGGGCCCTCTTGGCGACTTTATCGAGGGCGGTGTATCGCATAGCCTCATATATTCTTTCAGGGTAAGATACTGGGATTGATTCATCTAGCTTCTGATTGATCTCTTCAATCAGAGCCGTCCAATATGTGCGCAGATCGAATTGAACGGTGGATGATGCGGTGGTTGGCATGGCGGACGATGTGGGAGTGTAGCACCTGATTTGTACCCTCAGAAGGCGGTGAGGTGGAGTTGAGTGGCGGAGTTTGGGGAGGTGTGGGGTGTGAAACGACGACGTTAGGGAGAATAAAGCCATTTTGTGGGAGGATAAAAAGGGGATTTAATTTTTTTATCCGGAAGTTTTGTTGCTAGTTTGCAAGTGTTAGAGAAGGGTGAGGAAAAAGTAGTGAACTTTTGAAAGGAAGGAGTGGAGGAATGGAATTCATGTGATAAGAGGGTCCCCTAATACCAAATTAAACAA